TGGTACATGCGTCCAGAAAGATATCACTGCATAATTCATGTTGCAATCTTTGAAATTGGCGGAAAACAAAAGCAACATATGTATGTTCCTATGATCTTCGGGTGCTCAAAACTGAACATGGGCTATGCAAATGGGCGCTGGTGGAACTCTGGTTTTGAGACAATTCGAAAAATCAACCGCCAAACTCGCATGAGCTTTGCGGGAATTTTAACGCTTTACTGCTCTTTTGGCGCGGCGCTGTCATGAGAGATGGGTATGAAATACGGTCTTCTGCGCCTTCGAACCTTACTTCCTATACCATACTTTCTTTCCAAAACCCCAAAACAACCGGCGTAGTGATAAATGACTGGTCTGTCTTTCTCCAAATCAGAACGTTCCTGCTACCCAGAATTTTTGCCCCGCTCTGCCTTCCTCTCCTGTCACGAAGACCTTTAGCAAAAGCTGGTTCTTTCAAAACTTAGCCTCTTTCTACAAATGACTCTGTTCATCCCGTCGACAGTTCAACTCGTGTCTGTGAAGCCGATCAAAAGATTATAAGCTCGTACCCATGAAGACCGCTGCTGTTGCGCTGGCTGAACTTGGAACCGTGCGACGCACAAAAAACGCATGGTGAAAAGAGATGTGTTGGGAGGAAGAGCAGAGAATTTGATGCACTGAACTTCCGGCGCTATCTCGGTATCGATCTTACGTTCTAGAAGCGATATAAAAGCTCTTCTGACCTCTGCTTTTCTTGTCTCGTTACTTCCTCTACGATCTCTTCCGATTTACGAAATGTACGCCAAATTCGGGTTATGTTCTGCCTCTCTTTCTCTCCCAAAAAGCACCACCATTGAGGCGAATGTTCGGCACGAAAAGATGAATGTGAGACCACTCATGTCTTTCTGTCTTCTTTGCTTGTCGTTCTATAAAATTCCGAAATGAGATGTGGATGCGCCCTGGTGTCTGACGGGAGAGTTCAAAACATGAGAGAGACAAATCTATGTCGTCCAGCGACCCGACTTCGCATCATTCCAAAGTCTACTCGGCTGTTCAGGAAAAATCTCTAAAATCAAAGGCTCTGATCTAGATGGCTGTTCGGAAGAAAAAGCCTGGATGGAAGAGGATATGGAGTCTCAAAACAGCCTTGTTGACACATATGGAGACGCCTGCTGCGGAATGCTATAAAAGCTCCGCCAGTTTTTCTCTTTCTACTTTCTCTGTACCTCAAAGCTGAGAGTGCTTTCCCCAAAACACGGAGCCTTTTACATTATGGGTTCTCCTCTTCGAAAAGATGAACCTTGACCACCGCGGTCTCCACCCGTCTTTATTTCTCCATCTCTTTCCACCAAAGGAAATTTCGCACTGACATATGATCCTTCCGCTTCTCTTTGTTCGAAATTTGACATTCTATCGCATCAAAAGAGACAAACAAGCAGAAAATGTTCGGGAAGGCGACGATATTGGACCCCAGCCACTCCATGGCTCGTCTGCGCCCTGCGGTCTTCAAATACGAAACAAACTGTACAACCTGGACATTTGCATACGCTTGAGTGCTGAGGGTCGCACCGATGGCACAACGCATGTTCGAGTGGGATCTATCGCACTGACCTTCGAACAGTCTTGCAGGGCGTAGGGAAAAGGATATAATGTTTACTTTTCACTGTTGTCTTACTACTTCATACGATCAACTCCTTCTTTTTCAACTACCAAAACCGCATGGGTAGAGTACGATGATCTCATCCTCTCGAAACAGACCTCGGGAAGATTCAAGAACCTATGGCTTAGCGCTCTGCTCTCAACATCTACATATGTACAAACATTATGTCAATGGTCTTGCCGTCGCGGACTCCGCTTTTTCAATAATTACGTCAAAAGATTCACATCACCCACCTACTTCATCGCTGCTTCTGCCTTAAAATCAGTCCGGCGGTGTCACCACATCACTCAGACGCTCAGCTCTAATCTGTACTTCTAAAGATCTCGATGTCGAGTTCCATGGAAGAAGGAAGACAACCTTCGCGAAGACATCTCAAAATGAATTTGATACTTATCGCATGCTTTCGAAAAGAACCACACCTCCCGCATTCCATACGACTCATACGCGAGGAGATACTCTACGAAAGAGAGAAGTATCGCATCTCCAAGAACCTGGTGTGGAAAAACGCGTGTTGCAGACATGGCGGCCAACGTCACACGGTAGCGGCAGTAACGTGCCTCTGTGCCACAAGCATTTGGGAGCCTATGTTCCTCTTTCCAGGCGTCCAAAGCAATCAAAAAATAATACAGTCGTCAGAGTGATGCGGTGTTTTGCCTCGCCGCAAGTGACCCTGGGCGTTCGTTTAGGCGGCCTGTGGTAACTCTCTAGACACCCGCAATCGACAGTTTTCGACGACTTGCCTGATAGGGAATCGCGCTACAGCTACACACTAGCCCAGCAGGGTTTAGCACATGCTCGCGCTCTCATCCAATGCTCTAGTCTCCAGCCACCAGACTTTATCACTCATATTACGAGATTCAACATGATGGCTTCGACAGCACAGTACGCTTGTGGTATCTGCAGAGAGCGCAAAGTTCGATGCGATCGCGCGCTTCCAAAATGCAGACGATGCGATCGTCTCAATCAACCATGTGGCTATCAAGTGCACTCGCGTCGCACACGCGACGATCAGCTTAAACAGCTTCAGGAACGGCTGGCCAAAACGGAGGCTCAGCTTGCTCTTACCGCGCAAAACTCATTTACGACGAATTCGCCTCATGCGCAACCAGCTCCTGTTCTGGGGCATACGATTGCTAGCACTCCGATGGACCTCGATAGTACGAAAGAGACGAGTGCAGTTGTTGATGCGCCGATGAATGGGTCATCTGTTCCGGACATCGATTTTTACACTTCTTTTGCTGAAGACATGGACTCCAACATGACATTTGACTGGATGAACCAGCCGCTGGCCACACTCGAACCGATGGATGATTTACTTCTCAATCAGCCTCAGAAAGCGTCCCAGAGCGGCCCAGAAGAAGATATATCTCCGACCGATCTAAGCTTGCTGCACCATCGCTACTTCGAATCCGCATACTATTCCTTTCCGTTTATAAACAAAGATAGGTTCATGGCGGAATCAACGGTGAGCGGTGGCCCTGCAGCGAATGCTTTGGTCTATGCTGTCGCGCTTGCGGGTTGCTCGCACACCACGCCTAACGACTCCGAACGAGAGAAGACATGCTACAACCTTGCGCGTGATTATGCCGAGAGATGCGAGCGAGAAGACTACATGAGTGATCTGGACTTCCTCCAAGCTTTGCTGTTGAGAGGCCGCTTCGAAGCTATGAGCCGGAAGCTGGAGAGAAGTTGGCTGACTTTAGGACGCGCCGCTATGCTCTGTAGGCTTTTGAAGCTACATCGAATGGACGAAGTCAGCCATGATCAAAGTATGGAGAGCGGAGAATCCCAGAATAACTCTGTGTTCAGTTTGCCGCATACTGAAGATTCGGTACTACTGGAAGAGCGACGGCGCACATTCTGGGGCTTATACATACTGGAAAGCTACGTGAAAACACGTAGCGGATTGCAGTGTCAGCTGGGAGGCGTCAAGGTGCGGAATGTGAACCTCTATGCCTTTAAGAGTCTGACACAGTATCCAGGACTTTCGAATCAACTTACCATCGCCAGGGCTTTTGGATTCAAGCTTAGTACCGCTCAAGATACCTTCTGTTCTAGACGTGGGTACCGAACCCGGTCTCGAACTATCATCTTACGCTGGCTGCGTTCTAATGGTCGAGTTGGCCTTACGCTGCTTCGACCATGGGCAACAACGTGACAGACCAGGTTTCTGGGACGATTACTACACCCTAGTCAAGAAGACTGACGACCTCTTCGTTCTCCTCAAACGTCTTCTCAATGCGACTTCCATTCGTGAAGATCCCGTAGCGTTCAGTCTTTACATGAACTTACGCGCCACCGAAATCTTTTCTCATGAATCAGCCATCACAAAAAGCGAGGAACAAGGACTATCGCAATTGATGATAGCAGAAAGCCAACGTCGCTCTACCGCCGCAGCTTTCCAAATATGCAGCGCGGTGGGGCTTAATCTACCATCGCCGCGCAAGGAAAGTAGCGATATCATCATGTTGCAAGCTATCTTCATCGCCTGGCCTTTGACTATGGCACTAAAAGCATTACATCGCGAACTCGTCAATGACGGGGGAAAAGAGACTACCAGTGGTGTGGTCGCTTCAACGCGCTTGCTTTTCGCGGCTCTAGATCACATTGAAGAGTCGGAAGGTTACTGGCACCAACACGTGACGCATGTTGGGGCTAAGCTGCAAGAATGGGAAGAAAAGAACGGGTTGGAGCCGGTAGCTCTGTGAGAACCTTTTGTCTTTTCTTCGATGCATATAACGGGAAATCGGCGATATTTGCACCACTACACCTCATGACTACGAGAAAGATTCTGACAATTCGCATTTCGTTCGACATAAGCCCGGCCTTTTCCGTATGATATTCTCCGGTAGGTGTTCTGCTTCTTCATTCGACCGTCATCGTTTCGACACATGAATGTCCCCAGGAGGTAGTCGGTCGCTCGGACTCCGTGTCCGTGTCCGTGTCCGCCCCGTACACCACCTCTCTTCTGTTATGTCTCGCCGCCACATATTCAGCTCATTTCAGCCCTCCTTATCCCTATTACTCCTTACGAAACTGTTCCAAGATTTATCGAAATTGTACTTACGTCTGCGAGAAACCCGTGCCATTGAGGACTGATTGAATCCTTTAAACATGGACTACACAATTACACAACCGAGCCCGAACGACTTGGGTCGCGAGAAGAATGCAGGACCTGTAGATTTGAGTGCTCAGAGCTCACCTGCCGACGGCGTCCCTACAACCGACGGGTCAAATCCTCGCAATATCCATGGTTGGAAGGTAAGCAAGCCACCTGCACTTACACTCATACACACCATCACGATCAAGATAAGTGCTAACGCGTTATCTTGCCATCCACCAGTGGGCGACCGCCTACTCCGCAATGTTGTCCACAACCCTCCTCTTCGCCCTCGACAATACCATCGTCGCCAACATCCAACCCGCCATCATCGCCGACTTCGGGCACCTCGAACTGCTCTCATGGATCGGAACCGGCTTCGCCCTCGGCACCATGTTCATCTTGCTCTGGGGAAAGATCTACGGTGTCTTCAATATCAAATCGGTGTACATCTTCAACATCTTCCTGTTTGAAGTCGGCAGTGCGCTTTGTGGTGCTGCTCCGAATATCGAGGCGCTTATCGTTGGGAGGGTTGTTGCGGGTGTTGGGGGCTCGGGTATGTATTCGGGTACTTTGACGTATGTGTCGGTTCTTTCGGACGAGAAGGAGAAGCCGGCGTATCTTGCTGGGAGTACTGTTGTTTGGGGGATTGGTAGCGTGTTGGGCCCAGTGGTGAGAATATCCCTACAACTCTTTCCTTGCTGGATGTATGCTGACTTTCGACTATTAGGTCGGCGGCGCCTTTGCGGCAAGTAGCGCCACTTGGAGATGGGTATGTCATTTCGTCTTCCCATCTTCGCATTCTCGCCATTGAGGCTGATCGTTTGCTAGGGGTTTTACGTCAATCTTCCCATTGGCGCGCTCTTCGCACCTGTATACTTCCTCCTATTCCCCAGTATCGACCCCTGTCCATCCAAGACGCTCACCGAGAAGCTGCGCCTTGTCGACTGGGTCAACGCCGTCATCTTCCTCGCTGGTTCCGCCTGCCTAACCGTCGTGCTCACCTTCGGCGGGGTCATCTACCCATTCAGTTCCGGAACTGTCATCGCGCTGTGGACCATCACAGGCGTTCTGCTTGTCGTCTTCATCATCACGCTGAAGTTTCATCCGTTCGTTACCAAAGAGAATCGACTATACCCATTGCATTTCTTCAAGCAACCGACATTGATCAACATGCAGCTTCAGGTGTTTCTATCCTCTGGTATTATCCTGGTAAGCTGCTTTCGAACAATGATGAAGTCAAGATATTAACCTATCCCTAAGGCCATGACTTACTACATACCCCTCTATTTCCAATTCGTCAAGGGCGATGGCGCACTCGAGGCCGGCGTTCGTCTCCTACCATTGATCATGTTCATGGTCTTCGCGTCAATGGTGAACGGCTTCTTGATGCCGAGGTATGGCTTGATACCTGTCTGGTATATCGGAGGGAGCACACTGGCGCTCGTTGGCACGGCTCTGATGTGTAAGATTTTCAATCCATACAACTTCCAAGTAGACCAGCTAACGGCTTTCGCAGACACCGTCGATGATACTACGGCCAATGCGAGCATCTATGGCTATAGCATTCTCGTAGGAGCTGGTACAGGGTGCTACATCGTCGCAGGTTTTGCCATTGTGCAGTCTTTGGTTCCTGTTCATGAGATAGCCAACGCCGTTGGTGCCATGACCATCAGTCAAGACCTCGGTATGGTTCTCTTCCTCGCCATCAGCGGCAGCCTCTTTCACAACGTAGCTGTCGACAAAGTCGGCAAGGCGCTCCCGGAGGTCTCCCCCACGGCGATCGGGAACCTCATAGCGGGATCAAGCAGCAAGGCCTTCCAAGCACTGTCCGATGAAGAGAAAGCTTTGGTCATTCCCGAGATAGCCAGTGCCATGACCAGCATCTGGGCTTTCTTTCTTGCAGCTGCTGCGCTAAGCGTGGTATGCTCGATTCCATTGCTGGTGAGGTCTCCCCAGGATTTGCCTTCCTTCCGCTGGATATTGTTTACTGACGTCCACGACAGAAAGCCAAACTCGGTGATGGGAAGAAAGGTGCCGCGGTCCCTGCAGCATGAGATGTGCCATGACTGCAAGTGTACATGCCAAGCGGGGGGAATCGTCTCGATTGGTGGTGGCTTCCACTTCAAGATATACTTTCCCTCCACTATCAGAACAAGAAGCCGTGATTTATCCGTTGCATAATCTATCTTGTTCCCATGATCAGTGAATCCCTGAAGTATATAGCACCCACTGCACATATGGGCAACAATTCCTGAGGCGGAGATTTCGCGATGCTGAATCTAGATGCATCCTCCCACGATCCGCCCTGGCCGACTGGTGAGAGGGGTGGATCCAACAGACGACCAATAGACAAAGAGCGGCCGTTTGTGTCCGTTCCTGCCTACCTTCTCACGGCTCGGGGTGTACCGGCGACTCTTCAGACACTTGTTCAGATTGGGACAGGCCTTAAAACCGATCGCAAAGTTTCAATGAGAAAAAGAACTAGGGATGTATAATCAGAAAATAATGTAGTCGATGAACGCCATCGTTGAAGAAGCTATTGATGGTTCCGACAAAGTGGAGCTCGAACTCCGCGCGGGAGCCCCACATTTCCCGGTCGGCAGAACCTTCCGCCGCCCAAAATTTCGAGCCGTGCCAGGTACTTTCCAGCGCAACTTCCAGTACTCACCCTGTCACAATCTACTCGCCTCCAAACACCCGTCAAGATGTTCGCCGTTCCCGGATGGAACGTTGCCGCGCAGGTGAAGACTCAGGTCGAAGTACCAAAGCCGAAAGATTCCACGAAACCTGGAAAGAAGGCGCAGAAGAGGAAAGAGAAGCGCGAGGAGCAGCAGGTCAATGCAGACAATTTGGCTGAGCAATGGGATAGCATAGCCAATGGAAAAGGTGCGGAGGTGGAGAAGACCGAGAAGATCAAGAAGCCAGAGGCAGCAAGTGTAGAGGCGACAGATGAGGCAGCGCAAGACAAGCGTGGAAAGAAGAGGAAGAGGGGAAAGGCTGGAGGTAACAAAGACAAGGAGGCAGACGCAGATGGCGCAAAAGAAGTGGACGCGAATACGGCGGCGGTAGCTGAGCCTGCAGAGGCTAAAGCAGATGCTGCGAAGTCTGCTGAAGACAAACCCGCAACAGCCGACAGCGAGGCCAAGCGCGAGAAGAAGAAGCGCAGGAAGGAATCCAAAGCCGACAAGCTTCTCGCCGCAAACGCAAACGGCACGAAACCCGCCTCCGCGACTCCAGTTCTGGAGAACCTCCTTCCCGAACCCAAGGGCCTCACACCTCTCCAGCGATCGATGCGCAGCAAGCTCGCCAGTGCGCGGTTCCGTCACTTGAACGAAGCGCTCTACACAAAACCCTCTGCGGACAGCGCGTCTCTCTTCAAGGAAGACCCATCGATGTTCGAGGACTACCATCGCGGTTTCGCACAACAAGTCGAAGTATGGCCATCGAACCCCGTAGACGGCTACGTCAACAGCATAGTAGTACGAGGCAAGCTACGGAACAAGGACATACGAAAAGACCGAAGAGGCCCACCAAAGAATGCAGTTCGCAGAGGCCCCGGTTTCGAGGAAGAAGAGACCACAGCCATCGCACCTCCCCGGGGAGACGCGAAGCCCCTCCCACGAGACTTCAAAGGCCACTGCACCGTCGCCGATCTAGGCTGCGGAACAGCCTCCCTATCCTACCGCCTCCAACCGCACCTCAAATCGCTCAACCTGACATTCCACTCCTTCGACCTCTCCAAACCCACCGGTCCCTCTGCCGATCTCGTAACAATCGCCGACATCTCCGCGCTGCCCATCTCCGAAAACAGCGTCGACGTAGCCATCTTCTGCCTTGCCCTCATGGGCACAAATTGGCTCGACTTCATCGACGAGGCATACCGTATCCTGCGTTGGAAGGGCGAACTCTGGGTCTCGGAAATTAAATCGCGCTTCGGGCGTGTGGACAAGAAGAAGGGTGGTGTACCTATCAACTCCATTGGTTCTCTCAAGAAGACTATGGATAAGAAACCTCCCAAGGCGAAGAAAGCCAAGGCTGATAAACCACCTGAGGAAGGCCCTGTCGACTCGGAAGACGAGGAGGAACTCGCGGTCAATGTAGATGGCCAGGAGGGTAAAGAGGGAACAGATGTTTCTGCGTTCATCGAGGTGTTGCGGAAGCGCGGATTCGTTCTTGATGCTTTACCTGAGAGGCCGGGCGATGCGATCGATCTGAGCAATAAGATGTTTGTCAAGATGCAGTTTGTCAAGGCAGCGCATCCGAGCAAGGGCAAGAACGCGAAGGAAGATCAGAAAGCGGGGGCTGTGGCGCAGAGGGGTGGTGGTATGAAGTTTGGACTCAAGGGAAAGAGGTTTGGTGCTGGTGATGGAGATGACGAGGGCGATGCTAAGGACGGCGCGGTCCTGAAGCCGTGCTTGTACAAGATTAGGTAGACATGGGAGTGCATTGTTACGATAACAAGCGCGTTGAGGGGCGTTGAAAGCCTTTCTTCATTTGATCTATCTTATCTTCGTAAAACTACGTTAATGCATATGAAGCTTCTTTGCTTCTAATCCTGTTCCCTGGTAATACATGCATGCTATCGATGCCATGTCGTGAGTACGTCAACTCATGTCCTCGTCATCGAGACTCATTTGAACTGTTCAGATCTTTCCAAAGGATTAAATCTTACTGAGTGAGACTACAGCGGGTGTAGACGAGCGCCATGTGATCCTGATCCTATGGTGCTGTGGTCGTCTCGTTGACTAACCACCGAGAAGGAAACTAGCAGCATGCTCAACATTGCCCCCGAACATCTCCAGTGCTTGTATGGCTTCCTGTTCTGAACAGCCAAACATGCCAGTGAGTTGCTGGATGTTTTCCTGAGGGAAGTTGCTTGTGGGTGCAGATGCTGCGGGCGCTTTGGACGCTGTGGGTTGGGCTTGTGGCTGCGCTGGTTGAGAAGATGATGACGATGCTCCGGCATTCGAAGGACCAGCTGCAGCGCTACCTTTCGGCCGAACAGCACCGGTCTTCGCACCAATCTCCTCTCCGTTGGGACCTTGGACAGTTGGCTCGTTCATTTCCGCCTCCTCGAAGCTCCTGGGGATTTCTGACTCGTGCAAGAAAGGTACCTCCTGGCCTTCAAAGCATAGGGCGTTCTTCTCGAGATCGATCTTGGCGCGGTAACGCTTGAGCATGTCCAGACCAAATAGCAGGTCGACATCCTTGCCTTCCATGACTGTGAAAGCGCAGGGCATGACCGCACCTCCAATCTTGATCTCGGCGTGATGTACACGGCCCAGAATACGGGCTGTGCCGACACCGCGTGCCATACCGGCATATCGGACGTCCATCAGGCGCATGATACCACATCGCTCGGCGCAGTCGGGGGACATGATGGTCGCCTGGGCGCCAGAGTCAACGAAGGCCTTGACAGGCACGCCATTGACCTCGGTGTTGACGTAAAGCATGTGTACGCGCGTGAACACTGTGACATGTTAGCTTCCGTGGACACAGCCCCTCACTTATATATTCCATCGATCTATCCGCCGGTCGAAGTTGACATACCTTCAGGGTTCTCGTCGTATGCCTTTTGCAGGTTCTCGACTACGCGGTCCTGGCGGATGATGTCTTCTATCTTTCGTTGCGCCTCCACGTTGAAAGGGTCTTCGTTGAGGAGGGCAATCTGGTTCTGGCGCTCGCGCTCCGACTCCTCGGCCTGTCGTTGCCTCATGGCATATGTATCTCTCCAGCGGGTGGGGTCGTTGACGGCGGCGGCGAGCTCCGGGTCGCCCTGGCGCAGCTTGTTCATCTGCTGGGGGTCGTTGAGGACAAGCTGTCGCACGCCTTCTGGATCAGGTTGCGCGGGCCTGCCCGGCTGCTGGAGGTTCCTGTTTGGTCGAGGTGCGGCGCGCATCACAACGGCCAGCATCTCGCCATCCCGTATTCCGGCGTCCTCTAGTGTCTGTGTGTCTACGGCTACCGGCTGGCCGTTCAGGTAGAGGCTCTGTGACGCGGCGGGCAGGCTGGTGTCGGCCTCGATGAAGCCTTTGAGGTCCTTGACGGTGCTGCCGGGGGGCAGTTCGAGCGTCAGCAGGTCCGTGTCGGCCTGGGTGCCGGGCGCGGTGATGGATATGGTGACGCGAGGCCTGGCGGCGTGTGTTAGCAGCGTGCTGGGGGTGGTGGCACAACCACGGCTCCGGAATCGACTCACATGGTGGTTCGGAGCGGGCTGGGGCGTATGCGGGCACGTCTGGATGAGGCCAAAGAACGTGACACGGTGGGAGGTGAGGTTGGGTTGGGCGGGTCGGGGCAACGGTGTCTCGGTGCGCAGGAGCTTATAGGAAGGAGGCACTGGGCCGTGATGGTCTGGTCGCAACCTGGGACTGGAACGGGCCGGAGGGTCCTCGCAGTGAGAGAGGGAGAGGGCACGTCAGTCGCCGCCTGCTGGGCTGGAAGGGAATGGAACGTAGTGGAGCCGCGAACCCAGCGTCGGATGAATCAGCGATCAGAGGGCACAGGCTGCATGTTGTGAGAGTTTCGCCTAGGCCACCAAGGCTGTCACTCGTAATATACCAGCAACGTCGGGCTGGGGCGTAGGCGTCGGCGCGCAGTCGAAGGAGTAGTACTACTGCATCCAAACCACGACGTTGGCGGTGTAGGCCCAAGCATGGCCAGCAAGCGGGGCAGCCCACGCGCGGGAGAGGCTAGACAGTGCAGACAGTCGCGTCGATATGAATGAATACCGTCTCTGCTTGGAGCCACGGCGTGTCTGCCATGCACTTGTCCTGGGCGGACTATGCGGCGAGCCTGGTCACCATCTCCGCGGGGGTGCTGTTCATCCGGGAGCATACCCAGACCTTACTCCAGCTACCTGGATAGCATAATGTCTGGGATGCTTCAACTCCTGCCCAACGCATGCACGAGAATCATCTGGCCGCTGCGCCCTACGGCTAGCCCCTGCAAAGGATTCCGTGAGCTGTAGCTCCATGCCACCAGGTGCTGCCATACCCCACCGACATCATCCTACTGCACGTCATGGTAAATCCCATCGCCACACCATCGCTAGTCA